CCGAGTTACAAGTCGGAATAATTTTTTTTTTTGATAGGTGGCTCTCTGCGCTTCCGTAGAAACGCCCCTGATTTTCTTCTTTTTTTTCCAAAAAATGTCATAATTTTCCCTTGAATAGTTTTCCAGAAGAAAAATAAAATGTTAGATGGTGCATTTATGCCTAATTTAGTTGATATTCATTAATTTCCAATGAAGTTATTTTCCACTGGAAAAATTTGAAATTTTACTATGATACGCCCCTGATTTTCCTCTCTTTTTCCAGAAAAAAGTCATAATTTTCTCCTGGGCAGTTTTCCAGGAAAAAAATAAAATGTTAGAAGGTGCATTTATGTCTTATTTAATTGATTTTCATTAATTTCCAATGGGGTTATTTTTCACTGGAAAAATTTGAAATTTTAGTTTGATATACCTCTGACTTTTCTCGTTTTGTCCAGAAAATTTCATAATTTTCCTTTGGATAGTTTTCCAGCAAAAAAAAATAAAATATTAAATACCTAGTGCATTTATGACTAATTTAGTTGATTTTCATCAATTTCCATTAGGTTTATTTTTCATTTGAAAAATTTGAAATTTTAGTATGATATGCCCCTGACTTTTCTTGTTTTGTCCAGAAAATTTCATAATTTTCCTCTGGATAGTTTTCCAGAAAAAAAATAAAATGTTAGATGGTGCATTTATGACTAATTTAGTTGATAATTATTATTTTCCAATGAGGTTATTTCCCACTAGAAAAATTTGAAACTTTAGTATGATACGCCCCTGACTTTTCACGTTTTGTTCAGAAAATTTCTTAATTTTCCTTTGGATAGTTTTCCAGAAAATAAAAAATTTAATGGTGCATTTATGACTAATTTAGTTGATTTTCATTAATTTCCAATAGGTTTATTTTTCATTTGAAAAATTTGAAATTTTAATATGATATGCCCTTGACTCTTCTCGTTTTGTCCAGAAAATTTCATAATTTTCCTTTGGATACTTTTCCAGAAAAAAAAATAAAATGTTAGATGGTGCATTTATGCCTAATTTAATTGATTTTTATTAATTTCCAATGGGGTTATTGTTCACTGGAAAAATTTGAAATTTTACTTTGATACGCCCCTGACTTTCCTCTTTTTTTTTTCAGAAAATGTCATAATTTTCCTCTGAATAGTTTTCCAGAAGAAAAATAAAATGTTAGATGGTGCAATTATATCTAATTTAATTGATTTTCATTAATTTTCAATGGGATTATTTTTCATTGAAAAAATTTGAAATTTTAGTATGACACGCCCTTGACTTTTCTCGTTTTGTCCAGAAAATTTCATAATTTTTCTTTGGATAGTTTTCCAGAAAAGAAAAAATAGTACATTATACACCTAGGGACTAAAGTGGTACTTTCAAAAAAAGTAAAAATTTAATCCCCGGGAAATAAAGTGAAATTTACTCCCGGGGATTAAAAGACCCACTTTACTCCCTTAAAACAGGGATTAAAAGGGTACTTTTAATCCCTGAAGTACATAAAATATTAAATAGTGCATTTATGACTAATTTAGTTGATTTTCATTAATTTCCAATAGGTTTATTTTTCATTTGAAATATTTGAAATTTTAATATGATATGCCCTTGACTCTTCTCGTTTTGTCCAGAAAATTTCATAATTTTCCTTTGGATAGTTTTCCAGAAAAAAAATAAAATATTAGATGGTGCGTCTATGCCTAATTTAATTGATTTTTATTAATTTCCAATGGGGTTATTTTTCACTGGAAAAATTTGAAATTTTACTATGATACGCCCCTGACTTTCCTCTTTTTTCTCAGAAAATGTCATAATTTTCCTCTTAATAGTTTTCCAGAAGAAAAATAAAATGTTAGATGGTGCAATTATATCTAATTTAATTGATTTTCATTTTTTATGGGGTCATTTTTCACTGGAAAATTTTGAAATTTTAGTATGATACGCCCCTGACTTTTCTCGTTTTGTCCAGAAAATTTCATAATAATTCGATCTTTGTGTGTCCCACCAGGACAATTGGTGGTCATCTGTCTCCAGCAGGATATTATAATTTGTACAAATGTACTATAATTTTATAGGGTTCTATACTATAATAGTTGATCCGCAGTTGGCAACACTGATTACGCTCTACAACATTCAGGTAATTAGGCAATTCAAACCACGTGACATTCAAGATGGCGTGGCGGCCACACATGGGCCAAAAAACACAAAAAAATATTTAGTTTCTGCCCGAATTAATAGTTTAGTTACCTAGCAACAAATATTTTATTAAATAATGAAAATCAAAGTTGTAAGCAAAACTGTATGCAAAATAATTTAAAATACGCATAAAAACATATTCGAAACAAACTTGCTTGGCCGCCACGCCACATTGAATTTTCCTTTTTGACAGATGGATTGAATTGCCTAATTCTACCTTATAAGACCTTGGCTTTTTGTCATGTATATTATCTCTAATCCTAACTACCTCCCCTTTCACAAATTCTAAAGGCTTGAAATTATTTCTTTTTCACGAAAATGTTTAAATTTTTTCTGTCTATCCTCTAAAAATGTCTTAACTTTGGAATTATTGTCATTATTATGAAAATCTTCAAATGATGGAAGAGAGACATTCACTTTATGGCCAAACAATATTTCATTTGGTGATTTATCTAATTGCGAATCGATTGGAGTGTTACGATACTCCATCAAAGCTGTAAAAGGATCTAGTGCCTGAATCGTCAGCTTTTTTAAGTAATTGTTTGAATGCACCTTTCCGCCATGCCATTTGATCTTGGGTAGTGTGGACTTGCAGTTTCATGTTGAAACTGTCATATGTTAATGAAATACTTCAGGCGCCGAACAAAGCCCAAAAGGAACCCTTTTATAAGCATATTTACTGAAACTACCCATCGTGAAAAGTTGTTAAAAGTTGACTGTCCTTATGTAATTTAATTTGGTAAAAACCTTTGTTTGCGTCCAAAGTGGTAATTGAAGCCGTTCCCTCAACATAAAATCATTCAAAGGCTTGGGGTCCAAACATAGACGAAGTCATCCATTAAGCTTTTTAACAATTACCATTCAGTAGGTTCTGTCACTTTCCTAATAACATTCATTTTTTCCATTCGATCTAACTGTTTTTTACTTTCATCTTATAGCCTAATGGGTATTTTTCTAGGAGGTTGAGTCACTGGTACTGCATTACAATTTTTTTTATTTTATATGAACTTTCTAGTTCTCTCGGGGGGCCGGTTCTTGGGCCAGGGAGTAGAACTCCCCGTGATAACAAATTTTTCGTCTTTATCATTCTCATTTACTTCCCGATTACGTAGACAAGGACAAAACTTTCGTTCTATCGGGAAGCTCTACTCTCTTAGAAGAGAATTCGGCCCCCCCCCCCAGACCTTCAAAAGGAACACTGTATATATATATTTTTTTTTTTAATCTGGTCCAACTATTGTTTACTATCCAAGGTACCTATGTACTTTTTTAAGCAGATTAAACTTTTCGATGCATGGAAGTCCTATGATACAAGGTGCATCCAAATTTACTATCTGAAATTCGTTCAATTCCAAAAATTTGACACATTATTTTGGAAGAAGGTCTTAACTGTATATCCAAATCTCTGGATATCTTCATATTTAGGACATTAACATCGGCTCCTGTATCCACTTTACACACAGCCTCCTTGCCGTTTATTTTAATTTTCTGTAGCCATTCCTGAATACTAGCTACATATTTTGTTTCATTGGTAATTGCCCTTACAAAGAAATCATCATCTTCACTCTCCGAGTCATTCTCAACTCCATTGTCACTCTCTTGACTTTTTAACACACGTACATTTCTTCTTTTTGGACACATCTTTTTCAAAATGGTTGTAATTTCTACATTTTTTTCGGTACGCCGGACATTTGATACCATGAATCCAACCACATGACTTACATTTTTCTTTAAATTCTTTTTGATCACCTCGTTTTTCCCATTTTTCGTCTTCTTTTTTTTGTTTTCTTTCCGTAAACGTTTCTTGGTTTAACTGCTTTGACCGCATTCCAGCTAATCCAGCAGCTTTGCAAATGGAGATACACTTGGTCAAAACTAAACTTGCCTTACGTAGTAAGGAATATCTCACTCTGTTGTCTGAATTTCCACATACTACTTGGTCTCTTATAAGACTGTCTGGGAGATATCCAAAGTTGCAATTCATGCTTAACTTTTTCAAATCAGTGATAAACATATCAACCGATTCACCCTCTTTTTGTTTTCTACCTCGTTTTCTACTATAAAACAAGTGCCTATTTATTGTTCCATTCTCTTTGGGCTTAAAATGGTCTTCCAAGTATTCCATAACTTTGTCCCATTTTTTCCTATCCTCGTCAAAAACCTCTAACGTCTTATAAATGTATTGTACCTCTGGTCCCAAGCAATGTAACAAAATAGCAACTTTCCTTTTGTTCTATCATTTCCGTAATGTCCAGGATGCCACTGGCCAGAAAATAAATTCTAAATTGTTGTTTCCATTTTTGAAAATTGATAACCAGTATATAACATATTCAGAGGCTTAAGTTGGACCATTTTTGACTTTGTTCTGTACAAAATACCAGAAAAATTTCATGAAGTATTTGTCGTATTTGTTCCCTTGTATAGCATCATGAACCCTGTTTGTTCACCAGGGATTTGTGAAAGCATGGAAGGTTTTAACCGGTTGTTTATTATATGAAGCAGAATTTTACTTGCATGGGACATAAGTATTATTGTTCTCTAGTTGCTACGATCTGTGGAAGAGCCTTTTTCTTGTAATGGCATTCTTGTAGCCATTCACCAGTTTGCCATATCATATCACATAGTTTGTGTATTGTGTCTGTAGGTACCAAGTTGATTTATTGTTTTTTAGAAAGCTAATGGCTTTTTCCATTTCAACTTTTAGAATAAAGGGGTTCTTTGTATCCACTATGTTTTTACTGATGATTTAATTTTGCAATGCTCTACTTTCATAAAAAAAAGTAGGTCAAGATTAATATGCAGTTAATAAAACACAAATGTTATTAGAAAAAAAGTAATATTTTATTTAGATCAACAATATTCCAAAAATATCTATCTATAATCACATATTGTTGCGTAAAGAGAGATTACGTCAAATAAATAAAAACAGTTTTTTTTTAGGTACAGTATTATTCATATAAACTAACAAATTTTGTTCTATATTCCAAATTTAATAATGATATAACTTTACAAAAACCTTTAAAACTGAAAACAAAATAACTTTTTCAAAAACTTAACTCTAGCACAAAAAATGTTGTAGTTATTTATGAACAAAACTGTATTTTTATTCTAGTAACTAAGTACATATCGATAATAAATAAAATAATACTTCAATAATGGATTAACTTGTAAAAATATGTATACTCTTAAATGTGGGTTGATATAATTAAAAAATAAATAATATACTTAATAATAGGCTTTTCAATATGAAAAAGCACCCTCAAAAGATCATTCTAGATGATTCTAGAAACATTAAAATCTACTTATGTATTTAAATAATAAAAAAATATCTACCTATTTAATAATAAAGAGTTAAAATATTGAAAGACTTTTTAAACAAAGAGGAACCAATTATCATGTACTTTTATTTATGAACATAGTTTTGATAATCCTATTAGATCAGTGTACAAATCTGAAATAGGTAAATAAATTGAAATCTTGAATAAATCTATAAAAATCAGCTAATTTTTGAAATCAATAAAAATCCTTTCAAATCACAATAAATCACTAGTAATTAACGCTAGTAATCTAGTTAAATCAGGATACATTTTTAAAAAATCAAGAGAAATCTCCAAAAATCAACAGTTAGCAACAGAAGGTGATAGCAACCTCAAAGCTCTAATCATACGACTGGGGGGTTTCCACATGTTAATGACTTTTCTGGGATGAATTAGATAGTGATGAATGGAAGTGGACCAGAAGAAATGTGTCGAGAGCCTTGCGTGCAAATTTCTCTGAATGCATTAAAATTCTGGGATGTAGACAAGGGGCAAACCACCTAGGAATTATTTGCCAAAAATGTGGGAATTTAGAGGAATTTGTAGGGAATTTGAGAGAAATCATCGGAATTTATGAGAATTTGGGGAATTCGTAGAAAATGGGAAATGTGGAGGAATTTAAAGGAAATTGTAGAGTCATGACGTCACATTCTTATTATAAGAAATAGGTACTAAAAAATGGAAATTAAAAAAAAAAATCTAGTTTTGTGTTGAACGTTGGAAATTCATTTTCATTAAAGAAATTCTCCCAAAATTTCACTTCATGATTTACAGGTCCAAATTTGGAAAATTCAAAACAATAATGAGTAGAGTTTTTGTAAGCTGATTTCCAAGATTCTTCATATTGTTATTTTCCACTGGAAAAATTTGAAATTTTGGGAAAATGAGCCTCTGACCTTCCTCTTCACATATAAAAAGTTTCAAAATTTTCCCTTAATTAGTTTTCCAGGAAAACTTTAAAATGTGTGAGACTGTATAAACAATTATTTTAATTTTTGTAAGTTGATTTCCAAAATTTTTCATGTTGTTATTTTCCACTAGAAAAATTTAAAATTTTGGGAAAATAAGTTTCTCACCTTCCTCTTCACATGCAAAAAGTTTCAAAATTTTGCCTTCACTAGTTTTCCAGGAAAACTTTGAAATGTTTAAGACTGTATTTTCCATTAATTCAGTTATTGGAGGTTGATTTATAAGATTCTTCATGTTGTTATTTTCCTCTGGAAAAATTTGAAATTTTGGGAAAATGAGCCTCTGACCTTCCTCTTCACATGTAAAAAGTTTCAAATTTTCCCTTAATTAGTTTTCCAGGAAAATTTAGAAATATATGAATCTGTATTAACAATTATTTTAGTTTCTGTAAGTTGAATTTCAAGATTCTTCATGTTGTTATTTTCCTCTGGAAAAATTTGAAATTTTGGGAAAATGAGCTTCTCTCCTTTCTCTTTAAATGCGAAAGTTTCAAATTTTCCTCTTACTAGTTTTTCAAGAAAACTTTGAAATGTGGGAGACTGTATTTTTAACTAATTCAGATTTTGTAGGTTGATTTCCAAGATTCTTCATGTTGCTGTTTTCCACTGGAAAAAATTTAAATTATGGGAAAATGAGCCTCTAAACTTCCTTTACATACAAAAAGTTTCAAATTTTTCCTTTCGCTAGTTTTCCAGGAAAAAACCTACAATAACTGAATTAATTAAGAATACTGTCTCACACAATTCCATGTTTTCCTGGAAAACTAGTGAAGGGAAAATTTTGAAACTTTTTGCATGTAAAGAGTAAGAGGAGAAGCTCATTTTCCCAAAATTTCAAATTTTTCCAGTGGAAAATAACAACATGAACAATCTTGGAAATCACCTTAAAAAACTAAACAATTGTTAATACAGTCTCACATAATTCAAAGTTTCCTTGGAAAACTAATTAAGGGAAAATTTTGAAACTTTTTATATTTGAAAAGGAAGGTCAGAGACTCATTTTCACAATATTTCAAATTTTTCCAGTGAAAAATAACAAACTGAAGAATCTTGGAAATAAACCCCCAATAATTGAATCAATTGAAAATACAGTCTTACACATTTGAAAGTTTTTGTGGAAAACTAGTAAAGGGAAAATTTTGAAACTTTCAGCATGTGAAGAGGAAGGTGAAAAGCTCATTTTCCCAAAATTTTAAATTTTTCCAGCGGAAAATAACATAAGGAATCTTGAAGATCAACTTACAAAAACTAAATTACTTAGTTAAAAATATCGTCTGACACATTTCAAAGTTTTCCTGGAAAAAATTGAAATTACAGGAAAATGAGCCTCTGAACTTCCTCTTTACATACAAAAAGTTTCAAATTTTTCCTTTCACTAGTTTTCTAGGAAAACTTTGAAATGTGAGAAAAAGAAAATTTCAAATTTTTCCAGAGGAAAATAACAACATGCAAAATATTGAAAATCAACTAACAATAACTGAATTAATTGAGAATACAGTCTCACACATTTCACAGTTTTCCTGGAAAACTGTTGCAGGAATAACTGTGAAATTTTCTGGATGAAAAGAGTAAGAATGGGAGCTCATTTAAAAGAAACTTGGAATTGATTTAGTGAAAGACACCAACACGAAAAATTCTTGAAAATCAACTTCCAGAAACTAGATTTTACAAAAAGCAGTCTCGTATATTTGATTTTTTTTTCTGGAAAACTGTTACAGGAATAATTTTGAAATTTTCTGAATGAAAAGAGGAAGAATGGGAGCTTATTCAAGTGAAGTTTTAATTTGATTCAGTGAAAAACATCAACACCAAAAATTTTTGAAAATCAACTTCTAAAATCTAGATTTTAGATAAGAATGGATATAGTTTTCCTATTCCAGGCTAGTGTATTCACTCTATTCTTAGAATTTTCTTTATTTAAAGAAATTTAGAATAAAATAAAAATTCCGAAGCCAAGATTAGACAAAAATTCAGATGAAAAAATTGAGAAGGGAAATTAGAGGAAAAGATAGCCCAAAATAGACAAAACTACAGAAAAATTAAGAAAATAAGGCAACAAAAAAAAATAGTTATTGAATATTTATGATATTCTTTAAGATATTCAACCCTGTTTTCTGTTTTCTATATAGTAAAACCACAAAATATACTCCTGGACAAAATTATCGCACCACTGCTTATGGAGTTTATATGCATTGGTGCGGTGCGATAATTTTCTCAAGGAGTAAATAAAACATAAAAAATCCTCTAATTTTAGAAACATAAAATTTATTCTAGAAATTTCGCAATCATTGGAAATCAGGGCAAATGATAGTGGGGTAAATTTTTTGAAGGAGGGATTTATTGAAAAAGTGGAACTTAAAAACAAACTAGCTCCAGGGTACACTCTGTTTAACTATAAGTAAGTAACAAATATTTTTGCTTGTAAAAAGACTGATTTGTTATAATATATTTTATTTCATGCTGTTCTCTATAGGCTTCTTCTATAATAAATTAAGTACCTACAGGGAATATTTTTTTTTTTGTACATCAGTCAGCACTTTCTCTTACATCAGTACCAAATTGTGTTTTATAATAATATACCAACAGTCAATAAATTCTATAAGTTAAGAATAATGCAATTAACTCTTTCAGGAACAGTGGTACATAATTTATACCCAAACAAATATGATTCTAGTTGAGCGGTGGTTCACAGAAGATACCACTTATTCAAATGCAAGTAACTTATTGTGCGGCGGTTCAAATTGTCGACCAACAGCGCAGAAGCATTCGCACGCGCATCTCTAACGTAAATTTAGTGGTTACCCGGTTATAGACAAACTAACACGCGTTTGAGGTTATAAATTCGCGCGGCAAACACAATTTTACTGTTTTTTTTTTTTTTGTTTACAAAGAAGTAAGTTGAAAAGGTAAGCACAAATTTATTATTTATTAACATTGATATCTTAGATGTACTGGCAGTGGTATACTTGACATTATTATGTTCGTAGAAGTGATGATTTTTTTATCTTCAGTGTCCAGTTTTTTTGTATATGTCGTGGTATGATAATTGTACCACCGCCCAATAACAGAAAAAATATTGAACCAGTTTCCATACTAAAAAAATAAATATTTTCAGGCAAAATGGACGACCTACCATTTAGATTACGTGGAATGTCATACAGGGAGCTAATGGAGGAAGTTGAGGATGTAGGAATTCCATCTGATCCAGAATCAATCGTCGATAACTCCGAGGATGAAGCAGACGAAACTGAGACTGACATGATTCTGATGGAACCCGAACCAGACAGCGACTCAGAAGATGATCTGCCTCTTTCTGTTTTACGGTCTAAATTGAAACCATCGTCACCTCTCCCCCAAATTCGTGATTGGTCGAAGCTTTCGTGTCCCCAGAAACCAGCCGATTTTATTGGCGATTATGGAATTACAGATATCGTGAAAAATATCGATAATCCAACGCCCGGAAAACTTTTTCAGCTATTTTTCACTGACGAAGTACTAGACTCCATTGTTTTCCAAACAAATCTGTATAGCCAACAAACTTCAACTAAGCCGAAAGTTATAAACAGACAGGAAATAAAAACTTTTCTTGCTATAAATTTGTTGATGGGACTGAAGCGTCTTCCCAGTTACAGAGATCACTGGAGTAATTTTCCAGACTGTCATGACCCGTATATAAGTTCTTTGATGCCCGTAAAACGGTTTAGCTGGATTCTTTCAAACTTCCATTTGAATGATAATGTCATGATGCCCAAAAAGGGATTCCCTGGCTATGACAAGCTTTACAAATTGAGACCGCTTCTAAAAACCATATCCTCAAATTTTGAGAGGTGTATGTTCCCAACCATAGAACTTTCAATCGACGAATCTATGATCAAATTCAAGGGCAGAAGCAGTCTCAAACAATACCTACCAAAAAAGCCAATAAAGAGGGGTTATAAAGTGTGGATATTGGCAGATAAAAATGGATATTGTCAGAGGTTTCAAATTTATACTGGCAAATCAGATGATAGCGAGAAAAGTTTAGGAGCGAGAGTAGTAAAGAATTTATTGGAAGGTTTAGAGGACAAACATCACGTGGTTTACTTTAATAATTTTTTCAATGGTGTCGAGCTACTCGAAGATCTGAAAAAAAAGAATATTCATGCTTGTGGTACAGTGAACGCGAACAGAAGATTGCTACCAAATTTCAAGGGTGACATATATTTCAAAAGAGGAGAATCTGAAATTTTCACCTCAAACACTGAATTGGTAGCAATAAAATGGCGAGACAAGCGAAGCGTCCATTTGCTATCAAATTTTCACGATCCGAAAGATTTCACTGAGGTTCCACGAAAAAATAAAACCGGTGTCATTGAAAATGTGGCCTGCCCAGTTATGTTGACAGATTACAACAAAAATATGAACTTTGTTGACAAGTTTGACCAAAACCTTAATGTTTATAAGATTGACAGAAAATCCAGGAAATGGTGGCACAGAATCTTTTTCTATATTCTTGATGCTGCAATAGTCAACGCTTTTGTTCTATACAAAGAATTGAATTTGCCAAAAAAAACTATGAAAGAGTTTAGAAGAGAAGTAATAACATTTTTAACGACCGAAACCGTAATTAAGAGAAAACAATCGACAACACCAAATACTATTACCGTAAAAAAAAATAAACCTTTTGTTCCTCCAGAAATACGCACAAGTGAAAGTGCACATCGACCAAAAAGGGACACCAGACGTCGCTGTGCGCTTTGTAGCACCTCAAAAAAACAAATTAGGACTGACTGGGTATGTTCCATTTGTGATGTACCTCTTTGCCTCGGAAAAAACAAAACATGTTTTCAAAATTACCACCTACAAAATAATTGAGAAAATTTCGGTTTTCTTGGATTGTGTGTAGTGGTACAAAAATTAAACCACATATTTTTTTTTCAAAATTTTGGGATTTTTTTATGTTTTTTTGAGTTTTTATTTTTTTAGGATTCATATTTTGTTCATTGTATGCCAGAAAATACAAATATACGGTTTTTGAGTGGGTGCCCCTCTAGGACTTTTTTTTACCTAAATATCCTGCCCCTGAAAGAGTTAATACAAGAATAAAAACTATGATAACAATATTGAATATTGATTAATGCAATGTAACTTAACAATAATTATTTGTTGTAAATAGGAAGATCAATAAATTATAGAGAAACAATGAGGAGTATTTAGAAAAAATTACTTAATACCTACTCAACTCTTACTTAAATGGATGTAGAATTGAGTATCATTAAATCTGATCATTTGTTTCTCACCCTCAAAGCCTTAACTGAGAGCCTCTCAGATCTGGCTCTCATTTTTAAAGCTTTAATTTTCATTCTCTCAATAATAGACTCATTTGTGGGCACTCGGCTTAAAACAACACGCAATTTTCTTTGCAACTTACTCAAATCCTGTTTCAAAACTAAAACTTTAAGTCTGCGACATAACAAGGCCTTTTTCTGGAAGTCAGTGTCACCGGGATGTTGCCAAATTTGCCTCTTAGGATACTTAAACTTGCGGTCCAAAAGCCAATCCTTTTTTTCTTGATAAGTTACTTCGTATTTGATATTGTTGGGTCGATTGACAATGGGTTTGTTGACGTACCATTCAAATTTTTCCAGCCTGCGGGCTCTAAGGGCTTCTGGACAGAAATGGTTGTCCCTTTTCATTAGTTCGCGTCCCAAATCAGATGAAAACGGTATATTGGAAGTGTTGTTGAATTTAATTGAATTATTAGTTGGAGTTATTGTAGGCTCTTCACCTATAATCGGATTGAAGGTGCTTTGCAGGCCAAAACCATCCAAAAAGCTTTCTTGTGTAATAGGTTTTTCTGGCAGTAAAACGTTTATTAGAGAAACAACTGGGTTGTAGTTTATTGAGTCTACAGGCGAAGCCCTTTTTGATTTCGGAGCTAAATTTTGAGGAATCAAAGTCCTACGTTTACTAGTAACTTGAGGCTTGGTGAAATTATTGAGGCTCTCCTTGTACTGGGTCTTTTGGAAAAACTGGCAGCATTTGTACACAAGGAACCTCAAAATGCCCATCAAACACTTACCGTCAGCAGTAAGGCTTTGCGAAATTATTTGTTCGGAAGGCCACCATTCCGGAGTATTGATTTGCTTGAGGCACAGCCCCCTGTAGAGCCCCTTAAAGTCTTTGGCCCCACTTTTCGAACTGCTGCACTCCACTAGTTCCAATACTAATTTTTCCAGGCGTTTTCGGCTCATTTTTTCCAGGGCTTCTTTCGGGAAATTACCTTTTAGCACTTTTCGCATGTGTGTAGACATAATTTTAAAAAAATTATTAAAATATCAACATTCAACAACAACAGCAGTGAGCTGACGTGACATAACAAGTGTCAAGTGACGTTAAAAATTGCGCCAATAATTTTTTGATGCTCTCCTTTGTATTACTTATGAGTAAGACAAGGATAAAAAATGAATTGCGAATGTGCTGCCATCTATTGAGTAACGGCTGAACTACGCGCTTGCGAACTGTTTTTATTGATCTTAAGCTTATCAAATTTGATACTTTATAGCGATCCTTGTCTTTTGCTCCAAATTAAATAAAGAGACAATAATGATGGGTTATATTTATATTTATTGGGTTTGTATTGGGATTAAAAATTTTGCATTTGCATTCGTTAGAAATTGATTGTAATTTTCTTATTTAATAGAAGCAGGCCTAAAAGTATTTTACAAAAATAAAATTAAACTTGGAATAGGAAAATATATATTATACAGGGTGTCCGGATTTAGTATGGGGATTTTGGAAACCATTGAGGATACAAGGTGGACCAAATGGGAAAAAAAGTAGCGCAATCAAGTGCCTACAAAACAAAAATGATCTATCATAGAAACATAGACTTTTTTCAACTTAAAATATCAACGGATATACAGGGCAAAATTGCGCAACTTTTTCCCCATTTGGTCCACCCTGTATCTTTAGAGGTTTGTAAAATTTACTTCAAGTTATTCCGGACACCCGATACATCAATACTTACGTCTATACCACTACCTTGAAATTCGATTTTAGTGGAATTCCAGTGGATTTTTGTGGAAATCCAGTGGGATTTTGTAGAATTCCAGTCGGATTCTATGTGGAATTTCAGTGGGATTAAGTATGTGGAATTTCAGTGGGATTCTGACGATTCTGTGGAATTCCAGTGGGACTTCAATGGATTTTCTTAGTTTGCTAGATAAGTCGATGTTTTTGGTTTGTACCTATATGATGTAGTGGCAACTAAACTGAAAGACAAAACTTTTTGTCCAGAATCTTTGCTTGCTAAAATACAAAATAATTCTAAAAATTCACAAGAAAATCCATGGAATTCCTTGAGGAATTCCAGTAAATTTCAGTAAAATTCTGTGGCATTCCAGTAAGATATCGAGGGATTCGTTGGACTGTGGGATTCCAGTAGTACATCCCAGACAGCAGTCAGACGTCTTTTTTGAATATGCATTACGTTTGAACGTCTGAAAACTGAAATAAAAGACGTCTAGAAGACGTCCCTAAATAGTTGTCTTCAATTCACTTAAAGACAAGTGTGCCACACTATTTGGTACAACCAGGCGTATAAGTGAATAATGGTTTACCTATTAGATAAAGAACACGTCTTTAAGACATCTCGTTGACGACGTCTTTAGAATGTCTTGAAGAACTGTCATAAGACGTTTTTAGGCAGACGTTTTAAAGACGTTTGGTTTTATAACTGAAATTATAAAAAAAATTGCTTCAAATTAAGTTTTTATTTTTTTTCCCGAAGATTTTCGATAAGGTTCCAGGTTCCACATTCATTTTTTAACGAACAGGTATGGAATTTGGGGGATCCCAAAGGTCGGAAAACTTTAAAACGTCATAACTTTTTTTCTATTATAGATAGAAAGCTGAAATTTTCAGCGATTCCTATTACAGTAGAGGACTACAATTCCTGAAGTCCCTGAAGATTTAAGCTCATTTGAACTCATAGTTCTAGAAATAAAATCGTGTTAAACAATTTATGGGGTGATTTATCAATTTTTCTGAGAGCATTTTTTCATAGAGTCTGGCTCCAAATCTCAGAATAATTTAGTGCATGAAGTTTGGGGGGTCCTAAACAACCATTAAGAGCATTGATCACCTGCAATATACCCCATATTTTATTCAAAGAATTGCATTAAAACTAAAACATTAAATAAAACAAAACTTTGGCTACATTATATTGTCACGGCTTTGGATTGCTTGACAGAAGTTTTGGGTTCGTTTCGTTTATTCCAAAAATCAAAGTCCAATTAACACAGCAATAATTTATTCCACGTTACAATACACTCTGACACTATTACTTTAATAACTAACTCAACAATTAAACTCTTTACAACAATAATCACTATTACACTATTTAAATCGTATCACAGTCGAACTGGAACTTAAAAACTACAAAGCAATAGCGGCCTTTATATAGGTATCCCTAAATCTATTCCTGTAAAATCTAGAATACACACGATAATCTTATTTTCCCGATTAAAGTAGAATAATTCGCTAGATTCTAGCAAATGCCGAAAATTCTTGACAGCCTGGCGAACGCCACAGTATGTTACAAATATTAAACAAATCAACCCATAGGATATTTTTTAAATCAGATAAAAAGATTGTCTTTTAAAATTGGGTCCCTATATGTAACCAGTTTACTTATTTTTTTAGCTAATGGGATTTCTATGTTACAGAAAGTTAACAAGTGATCGCTAATTTCACTAGCATCCATTGTTCCGGCAACGGTTAAAAACTTTTTATTATTTACAATAATTGGACCCAACAGAGTAGCACAAGTGCCAGTGATTCTTGTAGGCTTATCTATCACCTGAGAAAAACCATATAGGTGCATCAAAAAGTTCACTTATTGGATTTGAAAAGTTCATCATATTGATATTCATATCTCCAAAAACTACATTATAATTATAATCAGGTAAAATCTCAGGTAAAAGAGGGCTTCCAATAGTCTCACACTTTCCATAACATTATTTCCCGTTCGATATATAACCTTCAACGCCATTGTTATACGTTATACTTTGCCCAACCCTAACCTAATCCACATGCTCAAATACCAGTACAACTGGGACATTTATGAAATCTATAGATTCACACTGATGTAAGTCAGACCTAACATAAATACCTATGCCACCTCCTCTTCTCAAGCCTCGGTATCTCCTATAGAATTTGTAGCCTGGCAGTGCAACCACATCCGATGCTATAATATACCCTCATTCAACCACGTTTCCGTGACACTAACGACATCAAACTTGCCTCTCTGCACTAAATTTTCAAATTCACAATATTCGGTCACAATTGACCTTAGATTTAGATCAGCAGTATCAAAGATAGTAGTTTTTGTAGTATTATTCATAACCATGATTCAAAATATAATAATCAATTCTTCTACCCAAGTAATTTCTATTCTGCAAGGGCATGTCCTATCTAATCCTGAATTTCCTGTGTCCAAACAACTATTTTTTTTTTCTATCACAGTTACAACATTTGACTGTCGGTGTATTATACACTGTTTATAGGAGTGATCTCCTCCATATTGTGAGCAAGTTACTACTTCCGAATTACAATCTTTTGCATAGAGATTATAATCCATGCATTTTTAGCCTTGTAGAATGCTACTATGATTAAATACACGAGCTCTAGACCATCCAATCTTTATCTTTTCTTGAGTGAGAATGAGTTTTTGAATCCATTTCGATAATTACATAAACGTTTTTATACTTGTTTTCTGTTTTCTTGACAATTTTCATGTGGAACCCTCCATTCTGAACAATACTAATCCCCTTCACCAGCTGAATCTATAATGTTTTCGTTCTCATCGCCTACATCCACATCGGAGCTATTTATATTTACACCCTTGACCTTAGGTCTTTTTTTAGTAAACACTACCACTTCATACTCTGCTTCCATTTCCTTCGACAACTGATTCTTTAGAGAGTCTATGTGTATAGTATTTTCGGTCCCCATGATAACGATCCCATTTGATCCTGGGCGAAATTTTGAAATATTTATGCCATACGGATTCACTTTCCTCCTTACTTCTTTTTTAGTATTCCTACTATTTTGATCCTTCTTCGGTTTCACAAGTATAACAGCCTCGCTTTTCACTACATAAGCATAAGAAACACTATAGGGCTTCGCAAGACCACAAGACTAGTCTTGGTTTTGTCTTGGTCTTGGTAGCAAGACCAAGACCAAGACCAAGACCTGATAAATCTTCCCGAGACCAAGACCAAGACTTGATGTTCCAGACCAAGACCAAGACTTTCTCTCGAGACTCTCGTCTTGGTCTTGGTCTTGAAAAGAAAAATCGACTCAATATTTATAAGAAGAATGTGAGGGTTTTCGAAAACCTTTGTCCGGCCTGAATACTCAGGTAGGTAAGGTACCTAGGTTTATTCTTATGGTTCATACAGAAATTTAATTTTAATGGTACAAAATGGCAATTTTATGGTGTGTTTGTCAACTTTCCTGTTCTGAAAATTCTAATGTAAGAACTTATGTTTGTTTGTTCCTCTGTGTTGTGTAATGCTTTATGCAGTATTTTTTGACATGAAACACCAAATGCATGGTCGAAATAGCAAGACCAAGACCAAGACCAAGACTGAGCCAGTCTTGTCTTGGTCTTGAAATATCAATACCAAGACCAAGATCAAGACCGCATTTATTTTTCGAGACCAAGACCAAAACTGGCCAGTCTTGGTCTTGATCTTGGTCTTGCGAAGCCCTAAAACACTATAGAAACAGCCCTTTTCTTCTTGCTACCTACATTCAGTAATAGGAGATACATACTGTGTCATTTTAATAATTGAGTAATTGCGAGTCAATAAAAGTTTAAATTAGGTACCATCCTTTGTCTTTGTGCTAAAATTTTAATTCCACACACCACATTTGTTCGTTTGATGTTGAATTTCGATTTATCTTCGATAATAAGAGCCGCGGGACTGTAAACGCGTTAATTCATCATTCATCTAAATTTTTACCGAAAAATAAAAACTATGATATTTGAACCCGAGCCATACAAGAACAAAATGGAGGTACTTATTTGTGTTTTTCCAACGACGTTTTCTTTTCCTGCACCTAATGGTCTACCAATTCTTCGACGAACAGAATCTTATAAAATAGGTTTAAAATATCTTCTAAAACTATGAGGTTGATTTTCTAACGGATTTTGAATTGAATTTCAAAGGATCGGTTTTGAGGGTTCTGAAAACTCAACTGACAAGTTCGGATCTCTCTCTTAATCTCGTTGGTGCGCTGATTTCTGGGGAGCGCATCGAATCTTCTCGTGCCGTATAGAATATGACATTGTTTGGCGCCAAAATTTAAAATCAAGTATACGAATAAAATTAGTTAGGAAATTAAGCTATGCGCGAACAGGTTTCATTGTAAAATTAGCCTTTTAGGTTTCACAGCCTGTCAAAATTGCAAAAAAGTCAATTTTCAACTGTCAATATTTCTGAAACAGTCGAAGATAGGTATATTTCATTGTATGTATACATGAAATATGTCTAGAATTTTCCGCATTACCCAGAAATGTCATAATAAACAGGGTCTATTCAAAAAATCAAAGTTTCTGATATTTCCCAAAAAACGAAAGATCTGACAACCATGTAAATACTACCATATTATCGGCCATATCACAATACTCTCCCAAACCAAAATTCATAAAAATCTTACAAGCCGTTTCTGAGATAATTGAAACGAGCCATACTTAAAACTCACTCTCTATATCAGGCACGTCACTTTTTCTTTTTATTTTACGGCGCTAGTATTTCGCCAATCTCATGTCTGCCTCTGCCATCATAATTGGTACAGTGTTGCAACTTGTAGAAGCGTAAGTAGAGGTGAACAACCACTAGTATGTCATTTTACCTGGTATGTCATTTCAGGCAGAACTCCCCTAGGGATACCCAATCGCGTACCCAAGATCTCAATTAGGGGGGGGGGGGCAGACCAATAAAAAAAGCATTATTAATAACCACATTATCTTTTTATAAGAAGCGAAATTTCCAATTTTTCAATACTATACAGGGTGATTCAAATTCGATGCTCTCCATAATCCATTGGGGTCTCGGGCAACGGTAAGAGATACGAGGCCGGTTAAAAGAAAACAACATTTTGGTCGGCCTCGTATCTCTGACCGTTTCTGAGCTCCCAATGAAGAACATCGAATTTAAATCACCCTGTATGTAATATTTTCCCTATTTCAGGTATGTGATTTCATATTTTATGATACAATTCTAGTTCTAGTATCTGGGGGGGGGCACTCCTGCGCCCCACTGGGTACGCCCTTGGGGGTAACTACCTGATTTGGATTTTGGAAAACTTTGAAAGGTCATTACTTGTTTTCTTTTGTAGATAGAAAGCTGAAATTTTTAGCGACGCTTATTCCAGTAGAGGATTACAATCCCTGAAAATTTCAGTTAATTTGGACTTTTGTGAAGATTTTCGATAGGGTTCCACATTTATCTTTTGACAGGTGATTAATATTTTATGTATCAACATTGTGTCCTTTTTTTAAAATCGATACGGTTTTAAGGCACATAGGGATCTTATGAGTTGAAAATATGAAAAAATTTGCTTCAAATTGGGTTTTTTTTTTTCTGATGATTTTCGATAGAGTTCCACATTCCATCTTTTGAGAAATATGAACTGGCGGTTTGATATTTTAAATAAATAGAAAAAGTTTTATTTTATAGTTTCAATTTATCCGTAAATATTAAAAATTGAATTGGATTGAAAAAGAATTTATTCGTTTTTTTTTTTTCAGTTTTGGGCAGCTTACGTACCATGCGACTCCCAACACAAAGACGCAGTTCAGCTTACTTTAGAGCAAATCGACGTTATAAGAAGATTCACGGAGTGGTATCATCCTCGGTTGGTACTCTGTACTTCATCAGAAGGTAAAGATTCAAATCTCAATACATAAAAACTCAAAAACAATAATGAATTTTGAAAAAGTTATAACTTCTAGCTGACAATGATATTTATTTTTCAGACATAAAATCTGCCCACAAAAAACACCACATGTGTTCACTGATAGGTGTAGAAGGAGGACACTCTTTGGCAGGAAGTTTGGCAGTTTTAAGAACATTGTATCATGTAGGAGTTAGATATTTAACTCTCACTTCCACTTGCAACACACCATGGTAAGAATCATTATTTATTACATATCAATTTGAAACTTTCTAGAAATTATTATCAATACGAATCAATTTTCAAAATCCAATTATTTTAGGGCCGATTGTTCACATGTAGATATGCCAGGCAAAAAGCCCGAACATGGAGGATTGACGAATTTCGGAAAGGTTAGTAGTAGATAGCTTATTTTATTTAGGAAAATTGAAATTCAAATTAGAAATTATCAAAGTTAAAAAATCGCAAAACAACTTTAGAAGTGTTCAAAATGAACTTCTGAATGTTCAAAAATCCACTCCAAAGTAGCTGTCAAAATATCGCAACTTCTTTATAACAGCTTTAAAACTTTAAAGTAAGAATTTTTTGATTTTCCAGGCCGTCATCAAAGAAATGAACCGTCTGGGTATGATAGTAGACCTATCGCACGTTTCTACAGGTACCATGCGCGACGCCCTAGAAGTTTCCAAAGCGCCGGTCATTTTTAGTCACTCCTCTGCGCATGCGCTTTGCAACTCTACCAGAAACGTACCGGACGAAACTTTAAGAAAACTAGCTTTAAATGGTGGCATCGTAATGGTTAATTTCTACTCGTTGTTTTTGACTTGTCGGGATACTTCAACGGTTGCCGATGCTGTTGGTAAGAGAAACAAATTTTTGAAAATTTACATATAAAAACGTATAAAGAAACAATTAAGATCTCGGATATTTTTAGGAAAAAATAGAATGGAGTTGGCAACATTGTATAAATTTTTTTCAATAAAAGAAAAAGATGTAAAGAAAAGTAACTTATAAAGTTTAGGCAAGGGCCAAATACAAAAATCATAATTAAATTAATATTGCCTAAAAATTAGAGAAAAATTATAGAAAAAAAAATAATAGAGAGAATAATAATTTCCTATTATATTTTAGCTCACATTAATCACATAAGAGAAATAGCTGGAGTGGATAATGTGGGCCTTGGAGCTGGATACGATGGCATCAATTAGTAAGTTACTTATACATATTTATATTCCAGAAGATTCGAAAGAAAACACTATTGTTATAAAATCTCTCTAGAGTTGAGACAATTTTTTCACAATCTTGCAGCACTGCCTGATGATTAGAAAATTCGCGAATTTTCTAGTCAAAAGTAAGAGATCAGTGATAAATAGGTAATTGGTAAATTGAATGCAAATACCTGAGTTATTATTCAGAAGTCGACAGTATAGACAATGACAGGATTCTGAATAAATTCTGAATTTTATGTAACGATAACCCATTATTTATTTTATAAATATGTAATCAAATATCTGATTATTATAATTTACATTTACACATTTATTAATCTAACAATAATATTTTATGTTCTCAGCGTTCCTCAAGGTTTAGAAGACGTCTCTTCCTATCCAAACTTATTCGCCGAACTGATCGGTACAGGAAAATGGACAGCAGACGATCTGAGAAAGTTGGCGGGTTTAAATTTCCTAAGGGTTATGCAACACGTTGAAAAAATCAGGGACGAATTCAAAAGGGCGAACGTACCCCCTTATGAGGATGTCATGCCCAGACAAAAAGGAACAAACAATTGTACTTCACAGGCGAATTATTAAGAATTCATGTTTCAATTTTTTTGAAACATTTCGGCTTCAATTCTCATATCTAATAATTCATAATTTGTAGGATGTGAAAATCTTATAAGTCTCTGTTTGAGTCATAAATCGGAAAATTTCTTTGGTACTTTCATAGGAAGACCATGGAATATTTGGATTTAAAGTTATGGATTATCACTGTAAGTTTTCTTTACATTTAAAATCTTGAAATCCTATAACTTCTATTGTATCATAGATAGAAAGGTGAAATTTTCAGTAAATCTTATGCCCATAAAGTTCTACAAACCCTGAAAATTTCAAATCATTATTTGGACTTTATAGTTCACAAAGAATGAATTATTGAGCAGGATGAAGATTTAAGAAAATAAGACTAATATTTTTATATTAAAATAATTATTGATAATAGAGCAAACGAATAAAGAGCCATTTTAGCATTTCAACTTATTTTGTCAGGGGTCGTTCAATCAAATATCCAATTTTAAAATTATTGGTATATATACAGGGTGATTTACGTAGCCAGTGCATTAGCTTGCAGATCGATTCAGGAAAAACTCGATTTTTTCACTTTCCAGTTTTGCTCAATTTTGACTTTACCAAAACGGGTCAAAATTAGTGGAAAACAACCCTGACATCAATTCCAAATGGCCATTTCAAGCAGAAACAAAATTGAGAAGGAAACTCTATTTTTGGCTATAGAAAATTTTCAAAATCTTAACATGGTCATGAGCAATTGCCCATATCTTTGTTGAATTTTGAGCTAATTGAAATAAAATGTATATCATTGAAAAGAACATTAAATTCTCTATAAATCCGTGTAAAATTGAGTTTGATAGCTTGAATAGTTTTTGAGCAATTGACCCTCAAAGTTGACTTTTAGTCCATATTTTGTTAAAAACTTCAAACTGAACTTGCTCAAAAACTATAAATCTGGGAATATTGTAAATTACAGGCCATTTAGAGGTCAATAAAAGCTTCAAATACTAAAAATTTCGATGCAATTTGCTCAACGGTTACCGAGCAATTGAGGTTAGAATATTTTTAAATAAGAATTCAAAGGGGGTACCCTTATGAAAACTCGATTTTTCTTATTTTCAGTTTTGCTCAATTTTGACTTCACAAATCGATAGAGCGAGTCAAAATTAGTAGAAAACAACTCTGACATCAATTTCAAATGGCCATTTTAAGCAGAAACAAAATTAAAGAGGAAATCCTATTTTTGTCTTTGGAAAATTTTCAAAATTTTGACATGGTCATGAGCATTTGCCCATATCTTTGGTAAATTTTGAGCAAATTGGAATAAATGTATATCATTGGAAAGAGCATCAAATTCTCTATAAATCCGTGTAAAATTGAATTTGATAGCTTAAACAGTTTTTGAGCAATTGACCCTCAAAGTTGACTTTTAGTCCATATTTTGTCAAAAACTTCAAACTGAACTTGCTCAAAAACTATAAATCTGGGAATATTGTAAATTACAGGCCATTTAGAGCTCAATAAAAGCTTCAAATACTTCAAATTTCGATGCAATTTGCTTAACGGTAATCGAGCAATTGAGGTTAGAATATTTTCATATCAGAATTCAAAGGGGATACCTACCTACCTTTATGAAAAACAATTTTTTTTTAATTTTCAGTTTTGCTCAATTTTGACTTCATCAATCCATAGAGCGGGTCAAAATTAGTAAAAAACAACCCTGACATCAATTCCAAATGGCCATTTCAAGCAGAAAAAAAATTAAAAAGGAAATCCTATTTTTGGCTCTGGGAAATTTTCAAAATCTTGACATGATCATGAACAATTGCCCATATTTTCGTTAAATTTTCAACAAATTAAAATAAATTATACATCATTGGAAAGAGCATTAAATTTTCTATAGATCTGTGCAAAATTGAGACCGATAGCTGGAACAGTTTTTGAGCAATTGAGCCTCAAAGTTGACTTTTAATCTAAATTTTGTTAAAAACTTCAAACTCAATTTGCTCAAAAGCTATAAATCAGGAAATATTGTAAATAACAGGCCATTTAGAGCTTAATAAAAGCTTCAAATACTGAAAATTTCAATGCAATTTGCTCAACGGTTATCGAGCAATTGAGGTTAGAATATTTTGAAATTAGAATTCAAAGGGGTAGAGTACCCTTATGAAAAACTCGATTTTTTTCATTTTCAGTTTTGCTCAATTTTGACATCACCAATCGATAGAGCGGGTCAGAATTAGTAAAAAAACAATCTTGACATCATTTCCAAATGGCCATTTCAAGTAGAAACAAAATTAAAAAGGAAATCCTATTTTTTTTAGCTCTGAAAAATTTTCAAAATCTTGACATGGTTATGAGCAATTGCCCATATCTATATAAAATTTTGAGCAAATTGAAACAAAATATATATCATTGGAAAGAGCATTAAATTATCTATAAATCTGTGCAAAATTGAGTTAAGTAGCTTAAATAGTTTTTCAGAAATTCACTCTCAAAGTTGACTTTTGGTCTAAACTTTCTTAAAAACTTCAAACTCAATTTGCTCAAAAGCTATAAATCTGGGAATATTGTAAATTACAGGCCATTTAGAGCCCAATAAAATCTAAAAATGCTGTAAATTTCAATACAATTTGCTCATCGGTTACCGAGCAGTTGAGATTAGAATATTTTGAAATTAGAATTCAAAGGGGTTACCCTTCCAGGAATGATTATGGATTGTTCCAAAAATGTTCCAGAAATGTTTCAACGTGTTTTTTTTTTTTGAAAAATTTGTAATGTATATTTTAGAAATGTTTATAAAATGTTTCAAAAATGTTCGTAGAATGTTTCAGGAATGTTCATATGAATTTTCTAATATTTTATGAGAATTTTGTGTAATTTTACAAGAATTTTTCAGAATTCCACTAAAATTCTTATATTAGAATATTCCAGGAATGTTCATAGAATCTTCATAAATTGCACGCCAGAATTCCCTAAAAATTCTTTGGAATTCTACTAAAAATTCAATTAGTTTCAAAGAAATTTTCTGTATTTTCACAGGAGTTTTTTAGAATTCTATGTTATTTTACAAATTACTTTTTGATAGTTCATGAGTATTCCAGGTAATTTCACGTAAATTTTTTTGGAATTCCACTAAAATTCTGAGTTATTTCATAAAAATTTCTTGGAATTTTGCTGAAATTTTAAAAATAATTTCACCATTCTTTTTTCGGAATTTCATAATCACTTATACGATTTTTCAAGTAGTTTCGTGTGAATTTTGATTTAGGTATTTCACAGCAATTTCTTCAAATTTTGCTAGAATTCCAAATAAATTTCAAGTAATTTAATTTCAGTAAAATTACCATGAAATTTCAGAAGAATTTTTTGGAATCTCGAGTAATTTTACAGGATGTTTACGGAATTTCAATGAAATTTCAAGTACATTATTTCATGGAAATTTTATGGAATTTCTAATGATTCCGTGGGAAGGGTTTTTTTTTCAATTCTACGCGAATTCCAAGCAATTTTAAAGAATTTTTTTTTCAAGTTCCACTAATATTCCGATTTACTCTACATAAATATGGCTAAAGTATTATTAAGTAATTTCACAAGAATTTCATATTATTTCAAAGTTTCACTTAAATTTTGAGTTACTCCACGGGAATTCCATGTAATTTCACGAGAGTTCTTGGGAATTCAATAAAAAATTTAAGTAATTTCAAGAATTTTATGTAATTTACAGATATTTTTGCGATTTTTTTCTTTCAATTTTACCAGAATTCCAAATGATACCATAGAAATTCTTCAAAATTCCACTAAAATTACAAATAACTTTAAGGATTTTTTTTATTTGGAATTTTACAAGGATTCCATGTAATTTTACAGATTTTTTTTTTTTTGAAATTGAGCGAAAATTCCACGTAAAATGATGAGTTTTGGAATTTCATATAATAATAATATAATTTTAATGGAAATTTTTCAGAAGTTTACGAGGATAACTTGAATTTCCAGAAGAATTGCGTGGAATTTCTGGAAAATAAATGGAATTTTATTTGAATTTTTTCGAAATTCCACATAATTCTACCGGAATTTCACTGAACTTCCAAATAATTTCACAAGAATTATTTAAAATTTCACGAGAATTTGATGTAATTTTTACAGGAATTTACTGAAATTCCAGAAAAGTTAATAGAATTTTATCGGAATTTCACGTAATTCCACTGAAATCCCAAATAATTTCACCAGATGATTTTTGATATTTGGATAAGTTGTTGCCCATATCCTTGTCAAATTTCCAACAAATTGAAATAAATTAAACACCATTGGAAAGAGCATTAGATTCTCTATAAATCAGTGCAAAATTGAGATCCATAGCTGATATAGTTTTTGAGCAATTAAGCCTCAAAGTTGATTTTTAGTCTAAATTTTGTCAAAAACTTCAAACTCAATTTGCTCAAAAACTATAAATCTGGAAATATTGTTAACAACAGGCCATTTAGAGCTTAATAAGAGCAACAAATGCTGAAAATTTCAATGCAACTTGCTCAACGGTTACTGAGCAATCGAGGTTTAAAGATTTTGAAATCAGAATTCAAAGGGGATACCCTTATGAAAAATTCGATTTTTTTAATTTTCAGTTTTGCTCAATTTTGACTTCACTAATCGATAGAGTATATCAAAATTAGTGGAAAACAACTTTGACATCATTTGCAAATTGCCATTTTTAGCAGAAACAAAATTAAAAAGGAAATCTTATTTTTGGCTCTGTAAAATGTTCAGAATCCTGACATGGTCATGAGCAATTGCCCATATCTTTGTTAAATTTTGAGCAAATTGAAATAAAATATATATCATTAGAAAGAGCATTAAATTCTCTATAAATCCGTGTGATAGCTTAAAGAGTTTTTGAGCAGTTTAGCCTCAAAGTTGACTTTTAGTCTAAATTTTGTCAAAAACTTCAAACTCAATTTCCTTCAAATCTTTAAATCTGGGAATATTCTAAATTACAGTCGATTTAGAGCTTAATAAGAGCTACAAATTCT